ATTAATGTTTCAACAGCTTTTGGCGAGTAAACATCACAGGTTGCATGACTCAAAATTTGGCCGAGTGAAAGCTTGGCTCTGGTCGCATACAAAACGAAAAAAAAAACCACGGGTAAACCATGAACCGCGCTCGGCCCATGGCCGCGCGGTTAATTAAAACCACAACATACATGTAATTATTATAAGGTATATATGTCCCATACCATAGATGAAATTTGAGATGTACATGTACTAACCTTAACTGCTTCCAGTCCATCCACCCATTTCTGACGTATTTCAACATCGGGAGCTCTCAAGTAATACATACAATCATTGACACTAACATCAAATCTGCACTCATCAAACTCATGAGGCTGTTAAAATGAAAAGAAAATTATACTGTAAAGTAAATCAAGGTCTGACATTTTCACACAGTATATCAATCAATCAATCAGTTAATCACTTTATAAATATGTCAGAACTTCTAGCTGGCCACGACTGGCAAACCAATCGCCAGGGGACACTTAACATAATTGATAGTAACAAGAGTTCCTACAGTCTCGTATCCCCATTTTTATCCCAATGTATATACGTACTCACATGTATTCATCCCCATAGTGCCGGCTGGTGCAAAGGGATGCACCAATGTGATACACTACTGTAATATTCTTTTAAAAGACAACTGGGCTTTTAATTCCTAACATATAGTTTTAATTTGTTTAATAACTTCCTGATTGATGCCCAAGGTTTGCTTACATGTACAACAACCTCTTTAGAATGTTCTCAGTAATATAACTAGTGACTACCATTTGGCATTCCCATTCTGTTCCCAAGCTTTACTTTTACTTTTCAAATGGAAATGCCAAACAGAATAAGTGAAAATTTATAAAAATTTGAACTACAGTAAATACAAATTGTCTGCCTTATGCGACTACTGGCGCACAGAGACTTGATGATGAAATAGAAATTGAATGAAAATTGTGTTCATTCACACTAACGTGCATCAGCTTTGTTTACTGCACAAATACCTCAGAGGACTGTGGACACAGAGGCAGAATTCATAAGATAACCCTGACTTAATCTTTATGGCTCACTGGTGTCATGATTACACTTATTTTCAGTCATTTTACTGTAGATCAGCACACAGATCTCATACTTGGGCAGCGGCATTACAAATCATATCTGGCTGGGCAATGTCTAATGTCTCACAGTTACTTCAAGCTCTGTTATTACAAGAGTTTTTTTTCTAATCTTTATCCTGGTAAGTAGCTTAGCCCATCTACAAACAGATTTTTCCTTTCATCCCATCTCCACCTCCATAATTTTATAATTCCTTTAAAACATGCAGCAAAAAAGGAAGACAGCTGCTAATAATCTGTTCCTTCAAGTTACGTTCCTGAACTGAAACCCTAAGAAAGGGGCCTGTGTTTGTTGAGTAATGGTAAAAATTCCCACAATTTAATCATAGTGTAATCTCAGATATAATCTAGGATAACACCAAGGAAAACGAAATACATGAAATTTGTAGACATTTTACAAAACATTCAAAAACAAAGGAGCAGATTTGTGAGATTTGTGAAAAGAATGAGGCAGTCAATACACTGTATATGTACATACATGTAAACAAAACCAAAATATAAGCTGGAGATAGAATATTTATTTTGGCAAATAGCTGACCTTATATTTCAGGTAAGAAAATAATACTACGTAACAATATCCAAAAGGTGGGCTTCGAATTTCAAAACATTACAAAACATGCGTGCGGTGGCATTGAATTACAGATACGGCCAATGCAAATGTCACCTTTCGGGTTCTCTGACGCATAATTTTTGTAGAACGCACAAGACAATACACTGAATAATTCTTAAGAAAAAAAAACATGTCTGTAAAATGTGGTACTGAGATCTCCTTTATAAAAGTGGCAAATATCAGCAATGAATGCATGGGTGTTAGAACGTATCCCGAAAGCAAAAAAACATGCTCGGCTTCGTTCCGGTTACGTTACGGTATTTCGTAATATCAAGGCGAGATTCTGAAGTATTTCAACCAATATTGAAGATTAGGGAGTTATCTATCAGATCAAGAATCTGCTTACATTCTTTTCTCGTTCCTTTCAAGTCCTAACAACTTCGATAATATTGGATTTATAAAGCTCTCTAATAATTAAGTCCTGACTAATCTATCACACAGGAAATTGTATACAGTATGATCTTACTTGTATGGTAGCTTTTGCCACACTCATAGAGCCGCGACACCCAAACGCTGTATCGTATTCTGATTTGTAGTAGGACAAAGTGCCGCCGCTCAAAACCACCCATCTTTCCTGCCATCCGTGCAGGTAGTTAGTCCATTTTGACAAGGTGTCTTGTAGCTCTGGAAGTTGCGGCTGCGAGTTTGAACAATCTAAGTCGTCTTCTTCTTCGTCGCTTAAGCTTGGTGTGTGTTCTCCAGACATTCTAGAAACTTACTTGGAGAACTAAAAATCTTTCCACTAATTCTACGAAGGAAAACTGACAAAAGTTCATTTGATATTCAAGCTTATCGCCGCTTCGTGCTCCTCCTACCTAAGGTCCGCCATGTTTGTGTTCATTGGTTTTCGGCATGACGTCACGTTTAGTTACCAGGATCCCGCTGCGTTTAGCCACAAGACACTGACAAGAAGTCTCATGCTTTCATAAGATAGGCTTGAAAAGCAGAAGTTAATTGAGCTAAGCCCTCAGAGTAGTAAAATAAACTATCTGAGCCACAAAAAAGGAATAATTTTATAGTTGACAATAGAGTGATTTCAACGATAATTTGAATTACTTTACTTACAGTGACAAGACAGCAGCATTTTTTGCCTCAAAAACAGCATTCCAGTTACATGTATATCTGGATGGCAAAACTTCGTGATAGGTTTAATATGAATCATTCATATTTCGTCCGTCATGTCCAGCTGAAGTCCTTCAGTATAGAGTCAAGTGAGGTCAACCACCATGATAAATGTCAGTGAGTGGTCCAATTGCAAGACAACCGGCTGAATATATATTCCATGAATGACAACTGCATGACTAGCCTGCAAACGCAGACGTATTTCCGGCTGTCACTTGGTTCCGCCGAAAAATAACGTCTGCGAACCCGAGCAAGGAAACGATTTCTGTGACGCAATGACTTTTGTTTCTCCTTGGCTTATCAGATTCCATGATAGAATGAAACTCGAGTGCTCCCCGCAGCGAATACCTCGTGCGGTAGTTCTGGGGTTATTTGAGCTAAACTGTGATTGGCTTAGAATTCCTACGTCACAGAAATCGTTTTCTGGCTCGGGTTCGCAGACGTTAATTTTCGGCGGAACCAAGTGACAGCCGGATATACGTCTGCGTTCGCAGGCTACCGCTTGACGGGATTGGTGAAAAAGATGGCGCGGAATGAATACAGTCGAACCTCCACTAACGGCCACTAACGGCCCCCTCTCAACAAAGGTCAATTCTCTACAATGGCCTTTTTTTTGTCCCAGCGGACAGTCCATACATTCACTTTTGTTTTAAACTCTCTAAAACGACCACCTCTTTACAACGATCGATAACGGCATCGGTCAGTAGCCAATAAAGTGCGTCCCAGCTCCCAACATTACCTAGTACCTCTCGCAACGGCCAGTCAATCAACAGCTGACTGACGGTGTATACAAAAACTTGTTTTTTATTGTAAAAGGTTATGAAACGATCTCCGAACGTCGTCGTTCGTCTTTGTTTCTGTTTGGTTTCTGCTTTATTGATATATATTTTGTTTGTGTTACATATTTATATGCTATAATAAGCATATTGTTAAAAAAATAATAATAACAATAGAAAAATGCTGTAACCCCGAAAAAACAACATTCAAATAACATTCAACCTTTCCCTGTTTACAGAGCATTATCAATGAGCATTTTTACAATAACTGTCTAATTTCTCGCGCGCTGATTGGCTCATTTTTATCATCAATAAGAGTACAGACGGTTGAAATCTTAATTTATACAAGCTTTCAAGTTCAACTTTCAGTTGTCAAACTGTAAACTTTTTAGCCAGTGAGATTTTATGGGCTTTTTTAAGTAGCCAATCAAAAAGAAAGAAAAGCTATTGACAATGGTCGCATCATTTTGAATAAAATTCACTCATCTTTGTTTACGGCAAGTTTACGACGTCTTTTCCCCTCATTTATTCCTGTTATTTGACCATTTGGTGCTTTTGCTATATTAAAAACAAATTGACGTCAGTTTTTTGTGTGTCTGTCCTCTCATTGATGATAAATTTCGTCATAACTTTGTCAAAGTTTACTCTAGAACACTGACAATGTTATGACGCAAATTATCATTAATAAGAGGACAGACGCATAAACACTGACGTCAATTATTTGTTAAATTTCAGAGGCCAGAAACATGGGTCTTCTAGTTGCATCAACTGTTGACTGACGTCGGAGAATTTAAACTAATATTTGATTCGGCCGAACGAGTGTTAGAAAGCTGTCCGTTGCTCCCAATCTCGTTCCCAGGGCCTCTTATCTTCCCGCCCTCCGGGAGCGAGACATGAGAGGGGGTGGGGGCTGCAGCCCCCCCAGCCCCCCCGGGCCGTACGCCTATGATCATCGCAGTTATATCATGGTGTTCATATCTGTCTCCGCAGATCAAATATATATATGATCTTTCATAAAATTCTCTTAGTGGTATTTGCAATATTTGTTTGAGTTTCTGCCCTAGGTTTACTTTCTTTACGTATTTTCTTTTGCAATAACCATCACCAGCCCTATCCTATCCTCTGGCGTGGCCGTGGGACAAATTTTTGCATCCATATCCGGTGCACGTGGGGGGCGCGGTGGCCTCATGGTTAGTGCGCTCGTCTCCGGATCGAGCGGTCCGGGTTCGAGCCCTGGCCGGGGACATTGTGTTGTGTTCTTGGGCA